CCCCAAAACCCCAAAACCCCAAAACCCCAAAACCCCACTAAATTCTATTCGATTGAGAAGGTTTGAATTTTTAGCAATAATTACAAAAAGTACTCTAGCTGAGGCTTTTTAGCAGGGATTCCTCTTGATTCTTGTGGAGCAGCATTAAATGTCTTATAATTTTCTTGAAGGTTTTCATCAATCTCAAGAATTGAGGCAACATTTCCTCATCTGTATCAGTAGTTTGGTGCAGACCAGACTGTCACAAGCTGGTTATTGAACATTTGCTTATATCCTTCCATGACAAGCTGGTGAGCTCTGGCAATGAGCTGAATGTTGTTCTCTCTGTTCCATTTTTCTACTATATCCTCTCCAAAGAGATATCCTGCTCCTCTTGGGCTTGGCTTCCAGTTTGCAGTATCTATAAGAATAAATTAGCTTATCTTACCATCTGGATCTGACCACATAAGATCACACATGCCTCCTTCGTGAGGGACTTCTTGCTTCCTATCAATTGATTTGATTTCATCCATCAGATGAATATCTGGAGAGAGGCCACCATGAACACAAAATACTTTTTCATCAACAAGTGCTGCTAATGATAGGTAGTCAAAGATCTCAGTGCAATATCTCCAGACGGATGCCGAACCATACTTCCTCATGCATTCATCATAAAATCCATAAACTTGGGTGATCTGTCTGCTTTCATGATTCCCTCTAATAAGCACTATTCTATCAGGATAGCGCACTTTTAAGGCAAGTAGTAGAAGGAATGTTTCGACCGAATAAAATCCTCTGTCAACGAAATCTCCTAGGAAAAGATAGTTCGTTTCTGGGCAGTCTCCTCCAATGTTGAATAACTCTAAGAGGTCGTAGAATTGTCCATGTATGTCTCCACAAATCTAGAAGAATGTGTTAAATTTACTAAAAATCGAGCTTACTGTTACTGGGGCTTGAACATCCTGAACGTTACATTCTTCAATGAAGATATCTCTGGCTTGATTGCAAAGCTCTCTTACTTCACTCTCTGTTAGAGTCTTACATTCTTTCAATTGCTGAATTTGTCTATCTAGGTCTGAAGTTGCCATATTTTATTATTATTTTTAATTCAATTATGGTTGGCTCTAAAGGGGTTTTGGGGTTTTGGGGTTTTGGGGTTTTGGGGTTTTGGGGTTTTGGGG